TCGCGAGGATTTCGGTGGTCGACAAAGTGAGGGCTAAAAATCCAGACCTTCCACACACCGACCAATTCATCGGTTCCACTGCTGATCGTCTTTTTCACGAACTTCACAACAGTCAGTGGTTGGACCTGTCGGACGAATTTTACGACCTTGACACGAGCCCTTCGAAGGGAAGGGTGAACTGGAAGATACCCCCTTCGACTGGGCCACTTGGGTGTTCGAGGGGGGGGACTCCGGGCGGTGGAGGGGACAGGGGGGTGATGAGGGGACTGGAAAAGGCGTCCCCGCTAGCGGGCAGAATGGGCCTCATGACGAAGTGACGACAACGGAAGGCGGTGGTGGGGTGGGGAGGGCTCCCTGGCTCAACATGCAACTGCGGGCTCCGGTCCAGAACATACGGTGAAGTCCGCCGACATCCCGACTTTGTCGTGAGAGGCATCGGGCCCCCACCTTAGCGACAGAGAGGCTAGCCACCTTAATTGGTGTTGGCAGCGGCTCACAAGTAGGGATTCCAATCACCGACGAAAAGTCCAAGTTTGTTGAGATCCGAACTACACCGGTTAAGGTGCTAGGGCGGGAGTCTGCTGTGCAGAGCGGGTCGGGGGTGGGAGTGCCCAGCCAGGATGCCGCGTCGAATTGTGCCGAAATCCGCAGTTCGCTTGGGGACGGTCTTCCGTTTAGCGGTGGTGATGTGCGGGACCGAACTGCGTCGGCTTAGGGGGAGGGGCGACCTACAGCGTAAACGAAAGACTGTGCAAGTGGATCGCGCACTGACCTGAGAACGTCGAAGTCCGCCGGGATCCAAACGTCATGAAAAGGGGGTCCTCGAGCTTGAATTCTGATGGCGGCGGGAGGGTCTATGCGCGTCAAAGCAGAAGAACGGTCGGCGGAATGAGACACGAGTTCGGGGGAAGGGATGAATTGTAGCGAAGGGACAAAGGGGAGGAAGGGGAAGAAGGGGAGGAAGGGAAAGAGAAAGGGTTGACTGGTTTGCTTGAAGGGGAAAAAGATGACCAAGGGAACATGGATAATGAAGAGGAGGAAAGGAAGGAAAGAATGGAAGGTTCTGATGTGGAGGACAGTGACGAGGATGCCGACTCTGACGATTCGTCCGACGAGTTCAGGCGACTGTACGAACAACATCGTGGTGCTCAGCGCCATGCGAAATCGGGGCTCTTAGATAGGTTCTGCGTCTTATAGGTTGATTCAATATTTTAGATTATCCTTCCGTCGGACTCATGTTGGGATACGTGTATTCATTTCTCGTTTTCTCTTTCTTCTGTTTTACGGGGGTAGGGTCATCTCGCAAACGGAGGTTCTCGAGATACCCGCACATATATTGCAGAAAGTCTCTGGGTTGACGACAAAAAAGAAGGATATGTTAAGGGCATCATGGGTTGATGTCGAGATCGAAAAGAAATAGCATGCCATAACAATTGAGTAGTGTCTTTCCATTCTGCCCCCGAAGAAGGGGACGTGTCCACTATTTGTGACTAGAGGTCACCCCATGTATGAGAAATACTTAGCAATCCATCGTGCTATGAAGGAAAATCCTTAGAGCCCCGTTTCTCACTGCCCTGCCTATGCGTTGCCCGATGTTGTGCAGTGTGCGTCACAGCACGTGGAACACGGGAGGAAAACTTTGCTCCAGCAACTGCGCCTCAATGTTTACGGGTTCTGGACGATAGTATGCGAGGCTCGATGCCGCCTCTCACAGTTTTCTTTACCCTCGTCGATAATCACTTGCACATTGCAGCGAAAAATCTCCTCACCCTTTTGCATATCGAGGGCAAGGTGAATGATGAAGTGGTTAATTTCTACATGGCGCTTTTGGGGTCGACCACATGTGCGACACACGATATGTCGTCAAACCTTTGTGTCTTCAACTTTGATTCGTTCTTCTTCAGTAAGCTGCAACTTGAAGGACACAATTGGGTGAAAAGGTGGGCAAAAAACGTAGATCTTCTTAAGTACGATATTATCTTTTGTGCCTGTCCACAAAGATAATGATCATTGGATCCTCCTCTCTGTCAACTTAAGAGACTGTCTTCGAAGTTTTCGATTCTTTTCATCTCGTTCTAGCTGATAGGGATTTTTACCTTAGCCTTTTCGATTTGATTATACAGTATTTAGAACAGGAAACATTACATAGCCGGTCAGATAAGAGTTGGAAGTCGATGGCAGCGAATATTGTGGTGGAAGGAGTTCCCAGACAAGTGGATGGAGCAAGTTGTGGGGTGTTCATGTTGATGTTCGCGACGCTGTTGCAACGTGGTTATCGACCACCTTTCACGTTCTCTCATACAAATATCTTGCTTATTCGACGAGAATGGACAACCTGTATACTATAAGTTCGTTGCCTTTGATGGTGATTTAGTGCTCCCAAACTTTCTTTTGACAGTGTTCTGTGCATTAATGATTTGTTATACATGACATTATTCAATTGTTATTTTGACAACAATCATGGTTTCTTTAATTATTACGAGTTTAAGTTCTCTTTGGCATGCTCACTACCTCTTTTACGTAATGTGCAGACTTAGTGATCTCTGTCGTAAGTCTGTCGTTTTTCATGCACCTGAACTTGTTTGCATTGAATTTCATATTTCAAATATTTATGCAGGACAACTTAAAATGCACATATGATTGACATTAGATAATATCCAAACTTGTTGCGTTATACGACAAAGTGGTGTGTGGATGCAAGTCAAAACTCGGCAAGTATATGATTTTGCGGTTCTTTATGCAAAGACGACTAATTTAACGACTCTTCCGTGTACATCTATTCAGATGCCTTGTGACTGCCTTCATTATATGTAACCAACAACTTTACGTTCATAACCTTAAATTTTGGGGGTCGCAAGTTGAAGTGCGGGTTCCATCGAAAATATGCAACATTCGAAGTTCTTGTGTAATATGACGGGTATTGTTGCGGAAAAGGATATATGTCAAAATTAAGTGGTTGTTAGAAAATGAAAAGGTTTCTTGTCTAAATAATAGTCATCCAAACCCAACACATGTCTAACTGTCCATATTGTCGATAAACATATTTCAATTATACTTTGACTAGTACTCTAACTGTTATAAAGCTTAAAGATGATGACACAAAATMAAATTTTATATATCCAAYAAGGATAWAATGACACATTGCTCATCACAATTATCAAYAARTCTARATCTCWRCACACATYCAAACAATTGTCACGGTCAAGAGGATGAGYTTGTCTGTCATTACAACTCTAAACAAGTCTGAATCTCATCAAACATTCACATAAMTGTATCGGYCSAGAGGATAAGYRTGCATGTGCTACTTAGGAATAACCTAAACAAACATATCCAACAAGGATACAATTATGACACCTGGCGCATCACAATTGTGAGCAAGTATGGATCTCAACACACTTCCGCATCTCGGGCGAGAGAATGGGYRTTAYTATCATTACACTTCTWAARAAGTCACGATCTCATCAAACATTTAAACAACCGTCTTGGGCAAGAGGATGGGTATGCCTGTCCAACTTAGGAATATTAACCTAAAGAAATGAAMTATCCAACAARTTCAYAATGATGACACATTTYCATCACAATTATACACAAGTATGGATCTYARCACACTKCCGCATCTCGGGCGAGAGGATGGGCGTGCCTATCATTACACTTCTAAACAACTCCCGATCTCATCAAACATCCAAACACCTGTCTCGGGTGACAGGATGCACTTGTCTGTGCTACGTAGGAAGAAATATATCCAACAAGCCTTATGATAGAATCATGACACCTGACTCATCACAATTATAAACAAGTATGGATCTCAACATACTTCCTCATCTCAGGCAAGTAGATGGGCGTGTTACAATTACACTTCTAAATAAGTCCGGATCTCATCAAACATCCAAAAAATTGTCTCGAGGGAGAGGATGGGCAAGCCTACATTGCGCATGTTGCAGCCAAAAGTGAATTCGTTAGAAAGAGGACACAATATAATGTCCTATTTTAACGAATAACATGTTTGTCATGTATAACAAAAAACTGAACTACACTGAAGAAAACGCAAGTCCGTAGTCCATCAACAATCGTCGTGTGCACGCGAATCTCGCTCGGACCGATGAGAACCTCGTTCGTGGGACCGATCACCGCCACGTCCTCGATCTCTCTGACGCTGCTCGCTGCGTTTGGCAGTGGAAGGCTTGGGAGACTTGTCGGGGTCATCGTCCATAATGACTCTCCCGTTTCTCGTTGTCCCGGTGCGTGCGGCTGCTAGGTCAACATGTCGGCGTGACTCGCGTGCCATAGGTAGACCGTCTGTCCTTGAAGTCTCCCCCTCCTGGCGTCGATCCAAGGGCACGTTTCGGGCCTGCCTCGTTCGTGTAACAACGTCAGGCTCCTGCAAAATAATCGACGCCTCTCTCAAACCGTTACATCAAGGGCGGATCCACTATGCTCGCCACGGCACCGCATGCGCCCTCACGCCTGCCGTCGCCGTCCAGCGCTGCCACCGCCGCCACGGCCTCTACCGCCAAACCCAGAAGCTACAACATCTCGACGTCTCATGCTCGTGGAAACCCCTCTCAAACCTGGCTGACGACTGACACTCGCCGTCGTCACCCGTCTCGTCTCACTCCATGAGCGATCAGTGCGACCGAACAGCATGGTGTCCAGCAAGGCCCGCGCACGCTCGGTAGTGTCTCTCCGTCTACGGTCAGCCGACCTCGGGGTGAGACTGCCGCCCTCCCTCGGAGCTACGGTCGCGGGTGACGAAGGGCCTACAGCCCTGCCAGATGGCGCTGCTGCGACGGAACCTCCAGAAGGTAAATTGGGGCTGGCTGGCCCCCAAGACAAGTCCTGCAGGTGAGGCAACTGCCCCTCCTTTGGGACTGACCTCAAAATACACTCGTCGATCTTCGTCAAATCCGTCCCTGCCGTGCTCCTTCAACTCCTCAGCGATCATACAACCAAAAGCGAGGCTGCCCCGAGGCGTAGCCAAATACCTAATCTCCGGCCTCTCCCGTGACGGCGCAAAAGTAAGGACCGGAGGTATGCACGCGCCCCTGCCTACACGTCGCTCCTCGACCGGGCCACCGCCCTGTGCACTAGACCCTATGATCCTCCAAAAACGGTGCCTGATGTGGCCACACTGGCCCCACAACAGTGCGAACCACCAAAGTCTGTGACATCTCCTGTCCGTCTGCGTCACGCCTGTCGACCTGTGCAAGATCTCCCCCCCCAGACGTGGACATCGGATCGGCCTGAACGGGCACCCCCMCCCCGCCAACATCAACGGCCCCCGCTACACCCCCGTTCCCCCCCGTGGTCGGTGCTATCCCCTTCGCCTGTGCCGATGGGCGAATATCATCAACGCCCACTGACTGCCCTGTCTGTATGTCCTCTAGATCCGGGGACATCTGCACGACACCCTCAACCAAACCTGTGGGCAGAGGCACGCCCGCGACCTCGTGCAACGTCTCCTCAGGCCTCAGCTGGACGGCAGGAGGCTGCACCGGCTCCGAACGTGGCTCCTCTGGCGGTGCCAACCCGCTCTCATGCGCCCCCTGCCGAACATCCACTCCCATACTCGAAGCATCGGCTAAAACTGCCTCCCATTGCGTCGTATTGTGAACCTCTGCCAGAGGATCCGTGTGGGCACCTGGCGCTACGTCAAGGGACGCCGGTGTAAATGTCCCCAACTGTCTTTGTTGGTCCTCGGCCGCAAGACGGGCGAGCTCCTGTGTCCTGGGGTCCCTTTGTGCCATGAGGCTAGCTCGATGATTATCAAGCCTATCCAACCTCTTTGCAGATGTCTCTCCAGGGGGTGTCCGGTCCTCATCCCTCTCTGCCCTCGACATCACCTCTACGCGCATGGCAGGTGAGAAAGTATTTGGGTCCAGGAAGCTGATTTGTCCCAATAAGTCCTGCATACCCACACTAATGTCTCCACGGGACTCGCTCTCTCCCCGGGGCAGACCCACGCTCTCTCTCGGGGCATACCCACGTCACCAAACTCATTGAAACCGCCTCCGCCACCCATCGGTATCCCCTCATCCCCGCCACTCCAAATCTCGTGCGCCTCAACCGCCGCAGCAACCTCGGCATCGTTTCCGCCTCCGGCCAACGCACCACCATCTCCACCAACCAACCCCTGTCTATCGCCCTCGTCCCCCTGAACCGGTGAAGGACCACCCGCTAATCTGTCCTCCAATCGCTGTCTCGGGCCTCTTACCAATCTGTGCAATCGACCATCGCGGGCTGGGTGTCGATGAAGCTGCTTCGTCGAAGTGGGAAGAGGGGTGGATGATGCCATGCCACTAAGAACATGCGCAGGACGATGGCAAGGGGCGACCCCACCAATCCCCGACTCTGCCCCCCTCGAAGGTACAGACCCAGGATCTCTCTCCCGCTCATCGGACCGCGGGTCAATGGACGTAGGCCTCTGACTCTCTAGAGGGCTCCCATGACGACCCCCTAACTCCTCCTCCAAATCAACTCCAACGAAGAGGTCATCTCCGCCACTCCGTCTACGGACGTCCTCTGGGTCGCTCCACTCATCACGCCCATCTGCCGCATGAGTGGCAGTAGCAGGGCCCGCCCGCTCGTCCTCCTCCTCCCGGCCCTCGTAATCGTTGCCGCCGTCTCGAGGGTACGGGCGCAATGTGCCAGCTCGAGTCCCAAAAACATCACCCACATCACCCGGAGGAGCTCCGGACCCACATGGGTCTCACTGCCAAGAACGTCTCTGATCGTCGAGCTCCTCCCGTTTCCTGCTTTCGTCCGTCCCCTTCCACGAGGGGCGAGTCCCAATACCTCCCTCCACGTCCAACAAAGACTCGTCTAGAGTCCACGGCAGCGCAAACCCGCGGCCTGCCCGCTGATGAGAGAGAAGGCGGACATTGGCGGAGATCTCAACCAACTTCGCGACCTTCTCAAACTCAAGCCGGTTACGCTTCTTCGTCTGTACACCCTCGTGGACGGCCCAATTCCTCTCCGCAGGAGAGGAGCATGTCCACATGTACATCACATGAAGAGCGATAGCCTGCAACTGCGGGGCGCACTGCCCCCACTTCGACCACCAACACCCGGACTCGTACTACGTCTCCGCATCGTCGGTGCACCTCCGTGCTTCTCTGTCTCCGTCCCTCCCCCCCCATGCAATCACCCCCCTCCGTGTGTGGAAGTCGCACAACTGCGCACATGAGGTCTCGTACTCGGGGCTCGTTACACTGAACCCTGTCTGCGACAAGATGTAAGTCTCCGCCTCCCTCACTAAGCTCGCGTCGTAGTCGCTGACTACGCCCTTGAAGTACCGCAAGTCCCACCGGCTGGGACAAAGAAGGTGTACAGCGGCGTGCGCCGACTCCAACATGTGAGCGCATCGAGCCTGCACCCTCTGCACAATGTAGTGTGCAAGATCAGCCGGAAGTGCACAAACCTCCTCTGCTACCTGGCGGGCCACATCCTTTGTCCACTGAACCACCCGCGACATGTGCAGCCCTCCACGGTCCAACCTGCGCAGCAGGTCGTACACAGGCTCCATGATACGGAACAGGATGCCCATGGAATCCCACCAAGTGCCATGTCGCACTTGCCACCTGACCCACCTAGCCAATTGACGAACAGAATGGTCCCAAGGGACCATAGCCCAAGTATCGTCGTACACCGTCCTCTCCAATGCTGACCTCACTGCCAGCAAACGCTCCATCATCTCGAACACAGATGCGAAACATGTCTTGCACGGATAAATGAGGCCCATCTGCCTGCTCTCCCGCCGAAAGATATGGAGAGCGGCGCCATGCTCCTTAATGAAGCGCACCACCGCTCTCCCCCGCACGATGATGTCCTTGGACCACGCGCCCGAACAGCCAATGTCTGACAACATCTTGTTGCAGATATGCACTTCGCATGGGAGCCACGTGATCCGTCGATGCTCTGGCCCCTGGAGCATGTTCTTCGCGGCGACGTACGCCGAGGCGGAGTCGGTGCAGATGACGTTCACCCACTTAGGGGGATCAAACACCTTGATCCAGCGTGCCAACACATCAGGCGCCCGGTCCCGCTCACCCTCCCTGTTCATCGTCCGGACGAACATCGCCCCATGCGACCCGCCGGCAAGGAAGTTCACGATGGGTCTAGCATCGCGTGACTTCCTTCCGTCCGACATAATGGTGGCCCCCGTGACATAGAAAGGAGCCCTGAACTCCGCGAGATCAACTCCCACATCGTCCGCCGTGTGGACAATGGTCTCTATGTTCGCAATCTCGTTATCTGAAGGCCACAAAACCTTCACTGGCCCCGACAATTCCCTTAAGTGTCAGACGATGTCCAACCACGGCGAGCTCCGGAAGACGTTGAACGCCAAGCGCTGACTTTACACAAACCTCAGCCACCTCTTCTTAAACTCCATCAGCTACTTTGAAGAGAATGACTCCGTGATGGTGTTCTACCACAGCCTCTTCTATGTTGTCGTCGACCGCGCCCCCTCCTCTCTCTCCTTCCTCTTCCCCATAGACGGACCCACCTCATCCGTATCCATACCTGCCTGTGTGCGAGCCGACATGTGCGCCGATGCAAAGTACTGGCCCTGCTGCCCCCTCGGCTCGCTGACAACGCCCTTCCCTCGCTCCCTCCCTTACGACCCCGCCCGCGCAACCTCCTCGACATCGTCGCCCACGTCGATCTGCTCCTCGACGTCCCTCATCTCTCCCTGTCCTGCCACATCCCGTCGCGGATCTATCGCAAGCGCCAGATCGTGAAGCTCCTCAAATCGTTGGGTCCGCTCTAGGAGCTTGTCGGACATCTTGTAGTCGCTATTGTAGTGAATGTCGACAAGTGCCTCGTCGGTCACTTCCGGACATCCCTTGTCGTGCCGGAAATGGCGCCCCGCCACAAACTGGTTGCCCTGGAACTCGTGGCCGCAAAAAACGCACTTGAACATGCGATTGCCACAGAATCTCTCGCCGAGACTCTGTCCCACGCGGATGTACTTGTACACGCAACATTTCTTCTGCGCCTTGCGGTTCTCGTCCTCACCCGCATCCTCAAACACCCGAGCCTGACTTCGCGGCATCGTGCCCGTCCGTCGATGGGCTCACCGAAGTGGTCTGCCCTCAGCCTATCCCACGAAGCCCCAACTCCCGCCGACCTATCACCCCGCACAAGGCCCCGTCAGGCCACCGCTGAGCGGCCCCTGTCGGGCCGGCGACCCACCCCACACGGCCTCCAACCCCCCAAGGTGTCGAACACGCAACGCGGCCTCCGAACAGGAGTGATGAACAGGCCGCGTTCAAGGAATTGAACGCACATTCAATGGACGCGCAGGCACGTTCAAAAAAATTGAACGCGCCTTCAATTTTTAGTGCTGCTGCGCGCCACGCCACGTCGTCGCTGTCGCCTGCCTGGTCACCCGCGCAGCTCCACGTCGTCGCCGTCGCCGGCCTGGTCACCCGCGCACCTCCACGTCCTCTCTCTCTCTCTCTCTCTCTATCTATCTATCTATCTATCTATCTATCTATCTATCTATCTATCTATCTATCTCCTACGCACTGGCAGAATGCCACGTCTCTCTCTCTCTCTCTCTCT